GTGTGTCTTCTGCAGCTCCGACTTCACACGAGCGAGTGCCTCAGTGTCAGCAGTAGCAAAGACCAAGTCGTCGACGTACACGAGAATGTAGAACGGCGGCAGCGACGTGTCTGTGCGGAAAGAAGAAGAAACGCGACGGGTCAGCAGTAGACGGCGCGAACCCAAGAGCCGCAAGTGTAGTCCTCAGTGTGTCGTGCCACTCCCGTGGCGCCTGGCGGAGACCGTAGACTGGCCGGCGGAGACTCCACTGGGTACCAGGGGGAAACGACCCAGTAAAGCCAGGTGGGCGGCGCAGCCAGATCTCCTCGTGCAGGCTGCCCTGCAGGAACGCTGTGCTGAAGTCAAGAGAGTGAAGCTCGTAGTCACGCTGAGCAGCAACGTGCAGCAGAACCCGAAGAGTGGTCATCTTCGGGGGTGGGGGAGAAGGTCTGGAAGAAGTCGACCCCCTGACGCTGACTGAAGCCTCTAGCAACGTAACGAGCCTTGAAGACAGGCGGAGAACCTGGCGGCCGCTTCACCCTGAAAATCCACATGCCATCGACGATGTTCGCCCCAGGAGGGGAAACCTCGTCGACGTAGGTGCCTGTGGACTTCCAGGATGCCATCTCTGCGTCCATGGCTGTCTGCCACTGAGAGGAGTAGGGACCGAGATCGCCTCTGCGTAATGTGCGCGGTAGTGGGGATGTCTTAGTGCATCCGGGTCTCCCTCAGGGGCAAGCAACCAGGCCACGAGATGAGGTACAGCAGCCCGCAGAGAGTCAAAGTCCTCCTGCCTGTTCCTCAGGACGTCCGTGCAAGAGCACGCTCACCCCCGACGGACGGAGGACAGACAGACGCAGACTCAGACTCAGCAACAAGGCTAGCGGCGTAGTCTAGACGACAGGCAGCAGCAAAGTCAACCAACTCAGCGACCAGAGCAGACGCAGCCGAGGACTCAAAGGTAGGGTCAGTGACAACAGTAGCTAGGAGACGCGTGACTGTAGGGTGCTCAGCGCGATACCGGTCAGACTCAGGGTCCGGAACGGCAGGCAAAGAGGACGCAGGAGGAGACGGTAGAGGGACACGCCGAGGAGCAGTAGAGGGACGCAGAGTCATGTAGTGAGTGCCTGGGACAGGAGGAGGACGCTCACGACGGACACGACTACCAGTGCGAGCAGGACGAACAGGCGACGCAGGACGAGACTCAGGCTCACGACGCTCTGTAAGACCTCCTGTGGGACCAGTATAAGGAGAGGGAGCAGGGAGAGGCGAGGCAGGCGGTAACTGTGACTGCGGCTGGACAGGCGGAGGACACTCTACGGAGGGAGGAGGACAAGGAGGAGGAGCCTGCCCAAGAACCTGCTGAAGGAGCGGTACGAAGTACGGTCGCGGCCGCGCAGCGTCTCCAGAAACAGAAGAGACTCCAGCGGCCGGGTCCTCAGGACCAGCAGGAGCTCCAACGTCCGGGTCCCCAGCACCAGCAGCAGCGCCACCGCTCGGGTCCTCAGCTCCAGCAGCAGCTCCACCAGGCGGGTCCGCAGCACCAGCAGCAGCGCCACCCCCAGAGTCGGCAGCTCCAACTCCGCTAGCACCGCCAGCGCCAGAGTCCCCAGCTCCAGTAGCTCCAGTCGCAGTGCTCCCAGAACAACCAGTCCCGGTAGCTCCAGTACCCCCAGTACGAGCACCCCCAGGACGAGCAGCCCCAGCACCCCCAACTCCAGCCGAGCCACTAGGACGGCGAAAGCGCCGGACGTACCAGTCACGAAGCTGCTGCGGTGTGAGAGACTGCTCAACACCCGAACCGATCAGCCCCCCAGACGCAGTAAGTAACCCGAGGCTCGTAGGCTCAGTAGCAGCACCCCCAGGCTCAGTACCCGCAGGCTCAGTACCCGCAGGCTCAGCACCCCCAGTCGCAGCACCCCCAGGCTCAGCACCCCCAGGCGGCAAACTCTCAGGCACAGTACCCTCAGCCCCAGCACCCGCAGTCCCAGCACTCCCAGGCCCCGCACCCGCAGGCTCAGCACCCCCAGGCTCAGCACCCCCAGACTCCGTACGTCAGGCACCGTACCCTCAGCTCCAGCACCCTCGTCCAGCACCCGCAGCCCAGCACCCCCAGGCCCAGCACCCCCAGGCTCAGCACCCCCAGGCTCAGCACTCCCAGCAGCACCACCCGCAGCAGCACCTGAGTCACCTGTGACCTCGACAGGCTCAGCGACGGGAGGAGGGTCTACCTGAGAGACACCTGAAGGAGCAGGACCCTGAGGGGAAAGTGGGTCTACCGGAGGGGGACCAGGAGCAAGGAAAAGCGGCGGGGGAGGGAGGGGGGCAGTGCGGTAGGGGAAGAGACGGTAAAAAGGGACCGACTCGTCAAAGGTGACATCCTGAGAGGCGAAGACCCGGCGCGAGGTGGGGTGGTAAAACTGCCAGCCAGGCGCGTCAGGGACAAAGCCAAGGAAGACACACAGAGAAGCGTGCGGGAGGAGAGCTTGTCCGCGGACGTATCGCGGACAAGGGCACGAGCACCCCACACCCGGAAGCGCGACGCATCGCCAACCTCCCCCGTCCAACGCAGTGTGGGCGAGGTCTCCGACAAGGAGACACGGGGCCAGAGGTTGAGCTGATGCGCGGCGTACCGGACAGCAAACGGCCACAGAAAATGGGGAGCCGCCGCGTGGACCAAGGAGGTACGAGCGACCTCCATGACCAGGCCAATGCGGCGCTCAGCAACCCCATTCTGCTGTGGGGAGTCCGGAAGCGTGAAGGTCTGCTCGATGCCCTCCGCCTGACAGAAGGTCCTCAGGAGATCGGAGGAAAACTCACCACCTCTGTCAGAGTGCAGACGCAGGACAGGAAGATCCGTCCGGAAACGGCGGCGGAGCTGGAGACGAACCGTGCGGATCCAAGGGATCAAAACAGCAGGGACCTCACCCTTGGTGCGCAAGGGGAAGACCGTGGTGTAGCGCGAGTAGTCGTCGACAACCAGCAAAAAGTACCGCTCACCGCCCTGACCACGAACGCGGGCTGGGCCCCACACGTCCAGGTGGAGGGTCTGCAGAGGAGCCTCTGTCGGGGGGAACGAGGAGGAGTGAGGAGCGGCGCGCTGCCGCCCCTCGACGCAAGGAAGGCAAGGCGGCGCAGGCGAGGCAGGGAGGGGAGGGAGGGACCTGGGAAGACCAGACACAAGGTGGCGACGGTGCATGCCACGAAGGCGTGGCAAGGAGGGGTGACCCAGGCGGTGGTGCCAGAGAAGAGTCTGGTGCGACAGGGAACGACACTCACAGGTGTGGGCTACCAGACCTGACGCGACACCTGACCGACAGCAGCGACCTGAGGAGACGCAGTGGTCAGTGTGTAGAGACTCGACCCCGGCCGACGGGTAAACGTAGCCAGGTGACGGCCGGTCCTGGAGCACGTGCAGATCGCCACACGCTGTCCTCCAGGGGTAAAGGTGTCAACCCACTGATCCTGGAGGACAGCGTTGCTCACCAGGTTCGTCGAGAACGAGGGGAGGTGGAAACCCGACAACGAGCCAGACGGAACCGCCGGACAAGGGAGGACAGTGGTGGACTGGGCAAGGACTGGGCCCCCAGAGGGGTCAGCCAAGGAGACTGGGACCGGTGCAGGAAGCGGTGTGAGCTCAGTACTGTCACGAAAGAAGCAACGGGAAGCACCTGAGTCAAGGGTGAAGGTGTGACAGGCCTCAGCCGGTGCGGTACCTGAGAGAGCAGTCTCTGTGGGTGCTGTACCTGAGAGAGCAGACTCGAAAACAGCCGGGACAGCACTGGAGGGAGGCAGTACGGGGGGCACCATACCAGAGAGACAGACTCACTAGGACCCAGGGCAGCGGGCTCTATACTGGGTCAGGCGGCACACACAAGTAACAGTCTCCCTCGGCACTAACAGTCAATGCATACATGGCAGCAATAATAGCATCATAGTCAAGAGCAAAGACATCAACACCAGCCCTCATGAGCTCAGCCCAGCGGGGGCGCTCAACATCCGCACCCATCTCCTCACGCCAAGCGTCGTCAAGGTGGGAGAAGCAGCGGTACGGGGTGTGGAACCTCCCACACGTCTGTCCCTTGCGGTCACCTGTGCGAATGACATAAGAACAGCGGCCACTGCCCCCCGACGTCCCACGCTGAGCAAGCCACTCACGAAGCTGTTGGGTCGTCTGGGGACGCTGCTGCTGCTGGGAGCTCTGGCCCGAGCCAGTGCCTCCACTCCGACCTCCGCCGCCACCACTACCACCGCTCCGACCGCCACCGCCACCACCGCCACCGCCACCGCCGCCGCCGCCACTACTGCCACTGCTTCCTCCGCCGCCCCCGCCTCCACCACCGACCCCACTCCCACCAGCGCTCCCGCCACCGCTCCCTCCAGCACCGCCTCCCCCCCCACCTCCCCCACCTCCTCCCCCCCCAGCGCCACCACCACCACCCTTGCCCCCCTTGCCCTTGCCGGTGCGGCGCCTCCCACCAGGAGCAGAAGCAGCGCCAACAGACTCAGCACCAAGGAAGTCAACAGCAGCAGCAGCAGCGTAGGAGGGAGCGAGGGGAGAGGAGAAACACCCCTCAAAGATGGGGGTGCGAGGAGCGCCACGAGCAGCACCGACAGCTACAATGCTCTTTTCGGCCGCGAGCAGCTGCTCCTCTAGGAGGGCGACTGTGAGCTCAGTGGGACAGCGAGCAAGGAAGTGGTCTCAAACTGAGCGGAGGGTGTCAGGGAGACGGGTGACTATGAAGTGAGTGTCCAGTACAGTGGAGGGGGTTCTTAGCGCAGAACTCGGTGGGAAGGGCGGCACGCAGGCGAGCATCACTAGTGCGAAGGTGGGTGATAAGATCGGCGACTGTAGTAAAGGTGGACAGATCGGGGAACAGGTACGGCAGCATGAGGCGGCTAAGCTCGGCTGTGGCAGGCGAGGAGTAGCGAGCAACGACAGCATCGTACAGGGCCTTAGCGGATTTGCAGTCGCCAAAATGCTCGAGCTCAGCTAGCGGCAGGTGACTGCGAATGGCTAGGCGAGCAGCTGCGTCACGAGTCTGCCAGTGGGAACGAACACTAAGCTCGGCTGTGGCAGCAGGAGCAGCGGCAGCACCAGACGCGTAGTCATAGAGGGAGATGTGGTCCGTGCTATTGCTCATAAGATACAACTGCAGGTCGTCGAGCCAGGAAGTGAACTGCACGGGACGGCCCTCAGCATCGAAGGAAAGAACACGAATAGAGGCCATAGCTCAGGCGTGAGGGCACAGCAGAGCAGCGGCAGCAGCAGAGGGGACGCGCTAGAGCGAAGCTAGCAGCCACAGCAGGAGCAAGCGGCGGTGCACAGGCAGGGAGCAGCAGGCGAGAAGCGCGGCGGGCGGGCTGCGAAGCGGGCAGCGGGGCGGGCGGGCGACGCAGCAAGCGGGCAGTGAGGCAGCGGGCGGCGCTGCGAAGCAGGTAGCGGGCGGGCCGCGAAGCGGGGCAGCGAGCGGGCGGGCGGGCTGCGAAGCGGGCAGCGGGGCGAGCGGGCTGCGAAGCGGGCGGGCCGCGAAGCGGGCAGCGAGCGGGCGGGCGGGCTGCGAAGTGGGCGGGCCGCGAAGCGGGCAGCGAGCGAGCGGGCTGCGAGGCGGGCGGGCCGCGAAGCGGGCAGCGAGCGGGCGGGCGGGCTGCGAAGCGGGCAGCGGGGCGAGCGGGCTGCGAAGCGGGCGGGCCGCGAAGCGGGCAGCGAGCGGGCGGGCGGGCTGCGAAGTGGCGGGCCGCGAAGCGGGCAGCGAGCGAGCGGGCTGCGAGGCGGGCGGGCCGCGAAGCGGGCAGCGAGCGGGCGGGCGGGCTGCGAAGCGGGCAGCGGGGCGAGCGGGCTGCGAAGCGGGCGGGCCGCGAAGCGGGCAGCGAGCGGGCGGGCGGGCTGCGAAGCGGGCAGCGGGGCGAGCGGGCTGCGAAGCGGGCGGGCCGCGAAGCGGGCAGCGAGCGAGCGGGCTGCGAGCGGGCGGCTCGGCGGGCGGGCGACACTGCGAGGGGCGCGCGAGGGCGCTAGTGAGGGGCGCGCGAGGGCGCTAGCAAGGGGCGCGCGAGGGCGCTAACGAGGGGCGCGCGAGGGCGCTAACGAGGGTGCGCGCGAGGGCGCTAACGAGGGGCGCGCGAGGGCGCTAACGAGGGCGCACGAGGGCGCTACGAGGCTAGGGCACGGGGTAGCGTGGTAACCGCATGCGAGCGGTGGTGGGCCCTTAAAAAAAAAACGGTCGGTAGGTCCTAGGGACCTCCTGCTCTGAATACCATCTCAAGATAACTAGGCAAGAATGAATTGAACTAGCAGAAGTTTGGGTACAAATATGAAACCCTAGTTGGGGTTGTACCCCATATTGGCTACCCCACTACAGCCTACAAGCATAATACAGTTTAACACAGCACACTCCCTAAACCCCTCCTATGCCTAGAGTTAGGCATAGGAGCACTTTAATCAACGACGTGATCAACGTCAGGTTTTCTTCCATGGCGTCTGGGTTTGTTTCCGCAGTAACCGGCCGACCCCCTGCTCCGCGAATGGTTACGCGCAGCAGCGGCAGGCGTGCCTCCCCGCCAAGAGACGAGGATCGCGCTTCTTCCTCCCGCGATCGCTCAAGATCGCCACGTCGAAATGGTGGAAACGCCACATTGACCGTGCTTGACCTGCTCAATGGCGCGAGACAGCCTCCGCCTTCTGCACCTAATGTCGTCGCCGAAGGACCCGGTAACGACCGTGGCCCCCCCGGATTTCAAGTCGAGGGGCGAGCTGCACGTGCAACCAGCGACCCAACTCAGCCAGGCGAAAACGCCCCCGCGCGCCAGGGTCCTGCAATCCAGGCGCAGGACCGCAATGATCGCGGTCCTGCACAGGCAGCTCGCAATCATCGCGATTCTGCACGTGCAGATCGCAATCAGCGCGATTCTGCACGTGCAGATCGCGATCGCGATTCTGCACGTGCAAATCGCGAGCGGGACCCTGCGCGTGGCGAGCGTCAGAATCGAGAGCCAGCACGCGAGGATCTCCGCCCCGATTCTGCAAATCGACGCGCGAATCAGGGCGAGCAGCGAGATTCGCAAAATCCGGCTACTGGGATTGCAGAAATCGCGGAAATTATTGCTCGCCTTGACCCCGCCAGCCAGCAGAATCTCAGGCGAATGTTCACTGAAACTGGCGGCGAACACGTTATGGCGCGATCCAGCTCTTCTACAAGGCGCCGTGTACCCGAGAACGATTCAGCGCGATACACTGGAAACAATATTGGAGATGCAGCAAATAATAACGACGCGATCGGACACGTGATCGGCCTTCTCGTGGCGCTTCAGCGCGGGCAACAACGGTGATCCTGCAGCAACTGCTGATCTTGTTCGTCCAGCTGCCGCAACAGCAGCAGCCCGTCCCCGCCCTCCCCCTCCTCCTCCTAATCCCGAGGGCGACGACGACGACGATCACGACAACGTAGAGAACCTCGACGAAGGTAATACTACTCGTCTCAAGGCCAATGCAGCAACCCTTAGTCTTACCCCCATACCTCCTGCTCGTCCTCAGTTACGCTCCTCACTCGTCAAAAGCGACGGCATTCGTACTCAAATTTTTAGCTTTGAACGCATTCAAGCTATCGCTCGTCATGCCTTGTCAATTTTACCTTCTCACGGTGGCGAGCAACTTGCTACCTTCAGCAAATCATCGATTAGGCGGAAGAAAAGATTCATTTCTTATTTACCGCGGATCAGCGCGGTTTTGAAGTAGCCAACATGGCTTTAAATATTAAGTACGGCGAGGTGGTGGAAGATAAAAACGTTAAGACCGCCACCCAAATTGTGGCAGCCAGCAAAAAAAGGCCACGAGGGCCCACATCCACTTCCCGTCCAAGCCCTGCACCTCGCACTCGGGGCCAAGGGGAACGCCATTGGACCTGGCGTAGGGACGGCGATGGGCGTTGCTTCTATTGCCGAGAGCTCGGTCATGGGATTGCCGATTGCCCACAGCGAGGCCAAGGGGCCAATCAACCCTCTAAGATTGTCTAAATTCATGTTTGGTTGTCTTCTTATTATATAGACTATTTGGACTCATCCTCGGCCTAAACACTCACAACTTATGTCATTGCAAGAGTTATATATTTCAAAAGAGGTATGAAAAAAAAAAAAGCACACACACACAATGCATGAGGGCGTGATTACGCGAAAGACCCTCAAGTTTGCTCCGTTGAATATATATATATATATATATATATATATATATATTACTAGAAGAAGTGAAAAAAAAAAAGAAGAGAGAGAGAGAGAGAGAGAGAGAGAGAGAAGAGAGAGAGAGAGAGAGAGAGAGAGAGAGAGAGAGCGAGAGAGAGAGAGAGAGAGAGAGAGAAGAGAGAGAGAGAGAGGAAAAAAAAAAAAAAAAAAAAAAGAGAAGACAAATAGAGAGAAGAGAGAGACCGATTGAAAGGAGACGACGGATGTTACATTCCGGTAATGCATGGGCGGGCATGTGAGCCCTACACGTCGGCCATGGCCATAGGAGGTTGTCTCGCCAAAGCGCATCGCTTTTAACATGACTAGATCTAATTATAATCCTGTGCATGTTCCTATCCATGCCCCACCAGAATTTGGCTTTATGCCACACATCAAGATACAAGGTGATGTGCGACACATGCGAGGACGCTTGCGGGAGCGTTCCACATGGTGGAACTCTTGGTGCACGAGTCACCTCATCCTGTCAGTCGTTGTGTCAGGGTATCGCCTACCGTGGCGTTCACACGAACCTACTCCCCACCATGCCCCGAACCACTCGGGAGCGTTGCAACACACGGCTTTCGCGGTGGAAGCAGTGGCTGACCTACTTGCCTCAGGCGCAGCCCGTATCGTCCCAGCCGAAGAGCCGCTCACATGCGTTAGCCCACTGAACGTGGTTGTTCAACCTTCTAAGAAACGGCTTATACTGGACCTACGACACATGAATTCATTCCTTTCCATCCCTCGATTCCGGTACGAAGGACTTAACATGGTCCCCGTGTCAAGATTACGAGACTGGAATGATTGAACTAACAGAGAAATCAGTACAAATAGCTAACCCTAGAATTGTGTACCCCATACAGGCTAACCCACTGTAGCCTAACAAACCAGACATATATAATGTTTGACACACCCCCATAGGCAAAGTGAGGGAGACCTAGGGGTCACAAGACCAGTCAAGGCAAAGTAAGGCAAACAAGCTCAGGGTGGATCTCGAGGATTCCACACAAATTCCGAGCACAAACAAGTGGTCACAAGACCAGTTCACATGCAGGTTTATAATAGAGCAAGACGTACAATGATCACAACCTAGCAAGAGTAAACATGCAGGTATATAAATATATAGTGATCACAGTACAGGCAAAGTCAAGAAGTGAGCAAGTGAGGGCCAGTAGGCACAAGGCCTAACAGAGTACAGAAGCGCTGATGGTCACAAGGCTGGAGTGCCTTGGTGAACACATCAGCAGTGTTGGCCTCAGTGGCCACGTAACGCAGACGAAGCTGACCGCGCTGCTGCAGCTCTCGAGCAAGGAAGTACCGCAGAGCAATGTGCTTCGTTCTGTGCTCCAGTCTGTGCTCCTCACACAAGGCAATGGCAGCCTTGTTGTCGACGTACAGCACTGGAGGAGAACGAGGCCGCTCTCCGAGGTCGGTCAGCAGGTAGGTCAGCCAGCGCAGCTCCTGAGCAGCCATGGCTGTGGCGTAGATCTCAGCCTCACAACTGGAGCTGAGAACAGAAGACGAACGAGTAGAACGCCAAGAAACTGAGCCAGAGCCAAGGCTGAAGGTGTAACCCTGTGACGACCGCTGAGTAGCCTGGTCGTCTGCCCAAGAAGCATCTGAGTGCCCTGTGAGAACAACCCGGTCCCGCCCTCCAAGCACAAGTCCCATGCCCGACGTACTGCACAAGTAGCGCAACACCCTCTTAGCAGCATCCATGTGCTCCTTCCTGTGACGGCCAGGAGCGACATAGCGTGCTAAGATGCTAAGGGGGTATGCAAGGTCAGGTCGAGTGCAGGTCATCAGGTACATGAGGCAGCCCACAAGCTCTGGATACGGGCCACTCGGCTCTACGGACTCATCCGAAGGCAGAGCTGAGAGCGAGTGACCGGTAGGCAGAGGAGTGGACTGAGGCGAGGAGTACGTGAAGCGGAAGCGCTGGAGAACCTGCTGCACCATGTGTGACTGAGTCAAGGTGATGGTGCGCCGTGCTCTGTCCCGGGTGATCCGCAAGCCAAGATAGCTTGTCAGCTCACCCAGGTCTGTGCACGTGTGTCTCCTCTGCAGCTCCGACTTCACGTGGGCGAGTGCCGCTGTGTCAGCTGTGGCAAAGACCAAGTCGTCAACGTACACGAGGATGTAGAACGGCGGCAGCGAGGTGTCGGTGCGTAGAAACAGCGACGGGTCAGCAGTAGAGGGAGCGAACCCAAGAGCCGCAAGCGTCGTCCTCAGTGTGTCGTGCCACTCACGTGGCGCCTGGCGGAGACCGTAGACCGGCCGCTGAAGCCTCCACTGGGTGCCAGGAGGAACCGACCCAGTGAAGCCAGGAGGGCGGCGCAACCAGATCTCCTCGTGCAGGCTGCCCTGCAAGAAAGCAGTGCTGAAGTCAAGTGAGTGAAGCTCGTAGTCGCGGTGAGCGGCTATGTGCAGTAGCACCCGAAGAGTGGTCATCTTCGGGGTGGGGGAGAAGGTCTGGAAGAAGTCGACTCCCTCTCGCTGACTGAAGCCTCGAGCCACGTAGCGTGCCTTGAAGACAGGAGGAGAACCCGGCGGCCGCTTCACCCTGAAAATCCACATGCCACTGACGATGTTCGCCCCAGGAGGGGGAACGTCGTCGACGTAGGTGCCTGTGGACTTCCAGGAAGCCATCTCTGCATCCATGGCTGTCTGCCACTGAGAGGAGTAGGGACCCGCCATCGCCTCAGCGTAAGAGCGCGGGGTCGGGATGTCTGGTGCATCCGGGTCTCCCTCAGGGGCAACAAGCATGGACACGAGATGGGGCAAAGCAGCAGCAAAGCACTGGAACTCCTCCTGTCTGTCCTCAAGGACGTCCGTGCCAAGAGCACACTCACCCCCGACGGACGGAGGACAGGCAGACTCAGACTCAGACTCAGCGACAAGGCTGGCAGCGTAGTCTAAGCGACAGCGAGCAGCAAAGTCAACCAGCTCAGCGACCAGAGCAGACGCAGCAGAGGACTCAAAGGTCGGGTCAGTGACAACTGTAGCGAGGAGACGCGTAACAGTGGGACTGGCCGCACGACGGGAGTCAGACTCCGGGTCAGGAAGAGTAGGAAGAGATGACGCAGGAGGAGACGGCAGCGGGACACGCTGCGGAGCAGTGGAGGGACGCAAGGTCATGTAGTGAGTGCCAGGGACAGAAGGAGGACGCTCACGTGGGACACGACGACCAGTGCGAGTAGTACGAACAGGCGACGCAGGACGAGACTCAGGCTCACGACGCTCTGTAAGACCTCCTGTGGGACCAGTGTAAGGAGAGGGAGCAGGGAGAGGCGAGGCAGGCGGTAACTGTGACTGCGGTGGGACAGGCAGAGGACACTCGACGGTGGGAGGAGGACTAGGAGGAGGAGCCTGACCAAGAACCTGCTGAAGGAGTGGTACGAAGTACGGTCGCGGCCGCACAGCGTCTCCAGAACCAGCAGGGACACCAGCGGCAGCCCCAACGCCCGAGTCCTCAGCACCAGCAGTAGCTCCAACGCCCGAGTCCTCAGCACCAGCAGCAGCTCCAACGCCCGGGTCCTCAGCACCAGCAGCAGCTCCAACGCCCGGGTCCTCAGTACCAGCAGCAGAGCCACCGGTCAGGTCCTCAGCACCAGCAGTAGCGCCGCCGGTCGGGTCCTCAGCACCAACAGCAGCTCCAACGCCCGGGTCCTCAGCACCAGCAGCAGCTCCAGCGTCCGGGTCCTCAGCACCAGCAACAGCGCCACCGCTCGGGTCCGCTGCACCAGGAGCACCACTCCGAAGACTGCAGCGCCGTGTGTACCACTCTCGGATCACCTGAATGGGGGGGAGCTCCTGGGTAGGAGGGGAAGTACTGGGACGAGCTCCAGAAGCACCTCTCCGGAGGCGGCAGTACTCGAGGTACCTCTCCTGCAGCTGCTGGGAGGAGAGGGCTCCTCCAGGTGTAGTACGCTCAGGCTCAGCACCCGAAGACTCAGCACCCCCAGACTCAGCAGCCCCAGACTCAGCACCTCCAGGCTCCGCACCTCCAGGCTCCGCACCTCCAGGCTCAGCACCCCCAGGCTCCGCACGTCCAGGCTCTGCACCCCCAGACTCAGCACCCCCAGACTCAGCACCCCCAGGCTCAGCACCCCCAGACGCAGGACGCGAGTCAACAGCTACCTCGACAGGCTCACCCGGGTCTACCTGGGACACACCTGAGGGAGCGGCACCCTGAGGGGGGAGGGGGTCTGGTACCTCAGCACCTGGAGCGAGGAAGAGAGGCGGGGGGGGGGAGCGGGGCAGTGCGGTAGGGGAAGAGGCGGTAGAAGGGGACGGACTCGTCAAAAGTGACGTCCTGAGAGGCCAGAACCCGGCGCGAGGTGACGTGGTAAAACTGCCATCCAGGCGCGTCAGGCACAAAGCCAAGAAAGACACAGGGAACGGCGCGACGCGAGAGCTTGTCCGCGGACGTGTCGCGGACAAAAGCTCGAGATCCCCAGATCCGGAAACGCGACGCATCGCCAACCTCTCCCGTCCACCGCAGAGTCGGGGAAGTCTCCGGCAAGGAGACACGGGGCCAGAGGTTGAGCTGATGCGCAGCGTATCGGACCGCAAACGGCCACAGAAAGTGGGGAGCAGCCGCATGGGTCAGGGAGGTACGAGCGACCTCCATGACTAGGCCAATGCGGCGCTCAGCGACCCCATTCTGCTGCGGAGAGGCCGGAAGCGTGAACGACTGCTCAATACCGTGCTCAGCACAGTAGGCTGCCAAGAGGTCGGAGGCGAACTCACCACCCCTGTCAGAGTGCAAGCGCAGGACAGGAAAGTCCGAGTGAAAGCGCTTGCCTAGCTGGAGACGGGCTCGGCTGATCCAGGGGATCAAAACACCAGGGACGTCACCCTTGGCGCGCAAGGGGAAGACCGTGGTGTAGCGCGAGTAGTCGTCAACAACTATCAGGAAGTACCTCTCCTGACCCTGACCACGGACGCGGGCTGGGCCCCACACGTCCATGTGGAGCGTCTGCAAGGGAGCAGTCGTCGGGGGAAAGGAGGAGGAGTGAGGAGCGGCGCGCTGCCGCCCCTCGACACAGGGAATGCAGTCAGGAGCAGGGGAGTCGGGAAGGGGAGGGAGCACCCTGGGAAGACCAGCAACAAGGTCCCGTTTGTGCATGGCCCGAAGGCGCTGCACAGACGGGTGACCAAGGCGGTGGTGCCAGAGGACAGTCTCATGCGCCAGAGAGCGACACGAGCAGGGGGCGGACAGCTGACCTGACGCAGACGCAGACGCAGCTACCTGAGGGGACTCAGTGGTCAGTGTGTACAGGTCCGACCCCGGCTCTCGAGTGAAAGTAGCCAGGTGGCGGCCCGTCCGAGCACACGTGCAGTGTGTCACACGCTCGTAGGCAGGGGTGAACTGGTGAACACCCCCGTCCTGCAGCGCACAACCTGCCACCAAGTTCGTAGAGAACGAGGGGAGGTAGAGACCTGAGAGCGTGCCGGACGGAACCGCTGGACACGGAAGTGTAGTGGAGGAGGTCGCAATAACCGGACCCCCAGAGGGGTCAGCAAGAGAGACAGCAACCGGCCGAGCTAGTGGCTCAAGGACAGTGCGGTCACGAAAGAAAGAGCGAGAAGCACCTGAGTCCAGTGTGAAGGTGTGCAGTGCTGCAGTCGACTCAGTACCAGGGGGCACAGACGCACTAGCACCTAGGGCAGCTGCTGCAGCAGGACCTGTGGGAGCAGACACACTAGCACCTAGAGCAGCAGCTGGGCTGGCCTGAATGCCCGGGTCGGGCGGAACACGCAAGTACTGGGCACCCTCTCCACTAATAGACATCGCATACATAGCAGTGAGAATAGCATCAAAGTCTAAAGCCCAGATATCAACACCCTTCTTTTCCAGCTCAGGCCAGCGGGGGAGCTCAGTAGACCCAGGAAACTGGATGCGCCACGCGTCAGTCAGGCGCTGGAAGCAGCGCTGCGTGGGGTGCGACCTCCCACATGGCTGGCCAGTGCGGTCACCAGTGCGGATGACGTACGTGCAAGTGTACCCACGCTGCGCGTACCACTCACGGGCGGCCTGGAGGGTCGGGGCGTGCTGCTGACTCTGGCCACCTCCAGCGTCTCCACGGCCACCACCGCCACCGCCACCGCCACCGCCTCGGCCACCTCCACCCCTGCCACGGCCACGACCGCCACCGCCGCCGCTGCCACCTCCGCCTCTGCCACCACCCCCGCCGCCGCTGTCACCACCCCCACTGCCGCCACTAGCCTCTCCAGACCCACCGCCACCTCCACTGTCTCCACCCCCGCCTCCCCCGCCTCCACCCCCACCCTTGCCCCCCCTGCTCTTGCGGCGCCCGCTCGAAGCAGACGCAGCCCCGACCTTCTCAGCACCAAGGAGGTCGACAGCAGCAGCAGTGGCGACAGAGGGGAGAAGGGGGGAAGGGGAACACCCCTCGAAGAAGGGGGTGCGGGGCTCGCCACGAGAGGCACCTACGGCGACGATGCTCGCCTCAGCTGCAAGTAGGTCCTTCTCGAGGAGGGCAATGGTGAGCTCAGTAGGGGAGCGAGCTAGAAAGGAGTCCCTGACTGTGCGCAGAGAGTCAGGGAGGCGGGTGACAATGTGGTAGAGGGTGAGCCAGAGCGGGGGGGGGTTGCTAGCAAGGAACTCGGCAGGCATGGCAGCGCGAAAACGGGCCTCACTAGTCTTGAGGTGGGTGATGAGATCAGCGACAGTGTGAAAGGAGGCCAGGTCGGGGAACAGGTAGGGCAGGGAGAGGCGGCCTAGGGTGGCAGACGCAGGCGAGGAGTAGCGAGCAACTACGGCTGTGTACAGTTCCTTAGCAGTCTTGCACTGGCCGAAGTGCTCGCGCTCATCTAGCGGCAGGGAGTTGCGGATAGCAAAGCGAGCGTGTGCGTCGCGGGTCTGCCACTGGGAGCGCAGTGTGCTAGCAGCAGAGGAGTCAGGGGCAGTAGCATGGCCTAGGGCGTGGTCGTACAGTGAAATGTCTTCCTTGGCAGTGAGCTGTAGGAAAAGGTGCAGATCATCGAGCCAGGTGTCAAATTTCACTGGGCGGCCCTCAGCGTCGAAGGCTAGAACAGGAGCAGTAGCCATGGTAGTAGGAGGAGGAAGAGTAAGTAATAAACGTGGCAGTGACAGTAGCAGTAGGGCAAGGCAGGGCCGGGGCAGTCGAGACAGCGGCGGCAGATGCTGCAGGTTCGGCTACGGCTGCTGCTGCTGGGTCGGCGGCGGCTGCTGCTGCAGAGGCAGCGGCGGCTGATTCTGCTGTAGCTGCGGCGGCCGCTGCTGTAGATTGCGGCGGCTGCTGCTGCCGTAGATGCGGCGGCGGCCGCTGCTGTAGATAATGCGGCAGCTGCTGCTGCTGTAGATGCAGCGGCGGCTGCTGCAGAAGGCGCGGCGGCTGCTGCTGCTGTAGATGCAGCGGCGGCTGCTGCAGAAGATGCGGCGGCTGCTGCTGCTGTGGATGCAGCGGCGGCTGCTGCAGAAGATGCGGCGGCTGCTGCTGCTGTGGATGCAGCGGCGGCTGCTGCAGAAGATGCGGCGGCTGCTGCTGCTGTAGCTGCAGCGGCGGCTGTTGCAGTAGATGCGGCGGCTGCAGCTGCTGTAGATGCAGCGGCGGCCGCGGCAGGGGAGGCGGCGACGGCTGCTGCAGCAGTTGCGACGGCCGCGACTGCAGTCTCTGCCGCGGCTGTTGCTGCAGGCCCGACCGCGGCGACGAAGGCGCGGGGGGGTCGAGCGCAGCACGGAGCAGCGCGACGGGCCGCGCTCGAAGAAAAAGAGCCGCGCGCACCGGCGGCTAGCTAGGCGCGCGTGAAAAACGGCCGCGCGCGGGCTGCTGGCTTGTCGCGCGCACGAAATAGGCCGCGCGCGGGCGGCTAGCAGATCGCGCGCGGTAAAAAAAAAAGGTATAGCGCACTAGGGGCGCAATAGGAGGCGCACTAGGGGCGCAATAGGAGGCGCACTAGGGGCGCTTGATAGGTATGTAGGTAGTTAGGTGGGCCCTTAAAAACGGTCCTAGGGAAGGACCTGCTCTGAAACCATGTCAAGATTACGAGACTGGAATGATTGAACTAACAGAGAAATCAGTACAAATAGCTAACCCTAGAATTGTGTACCCCATACAGGCTAACCCACTGTAGCCTAACAAACCAGACATATATAATGTTTGACACCCCGACCTAGTGCATAAGGGCGATTGGTTGTTCACCATAGACCTCAAGTCGGGTTATCACCACGTGGACATTCACCCGTCATTTTGGCGGTTCCTCGGATTTTCCCTGCAAGACCAACGATACCAATTTCTGTCACTACCCTTTGGGCTGGCTACAGCACCATTCGTGTTCACACAGCTAATTAAGCAGCTGGCAAAGCGTTGGCGCAGCAGGGGGATCCGATTAATTCCTTACGTGGACGACCTATTGTTCATATGTGCTACGCAAAACGAAGCGTTCCAGACTCGCACCATCATTTTGGACGACCTCGGGTCCGCCGCTTTTATTGTCAACACGGACAAGTCACAGCTCCAGCCATCGCAATGTCTTAAATTCCTTGGCCTCATGTTGGATACTAGTACCGCATCCTTCTCAGTCGACGATACCCGCCGAGATCGGTTGTTCGACGAGCTTGAAAAAATTTGTCAGATCAGCACACAGGGGCGTCGCATCCCGGTTCGACGCGCAGCCAGGGTGACAGGCATGCTAGCTTCCATGTCTATGGCACTTGGTACCATAGCCCGCGCGTTCTCACATAACCTGATCTCTCAAATCAGTACGTGTCAATCCTGGGGAGACTCCATATGTTTGACGTCAGAATCGATCGACGAGTTGCGATTCTGGCTGACACAGTTCGACGTTTTCAACGGTTCATGCTTCCACAACCCACATGTATATGACATTGTCATGTACGTCGATGCAAGCGACCATGCTTGGGGAAGCTGCTATTCCACGCCTGATGGCCGAGTCGGCTCACAGTCATTTCGTTTTCCCCAGTCCTTATCAGACGCATCGAGCACGCTTCGCGAACTCGCCCGCATTCTCTGGGCACTGTCAACCTTTAGCCGCGAGATCCAACGCTCGCACGTCCTGCTTCGAAGCGACAGCCAAGCGGCCTACTATATTATGAAAAAAGGTGGTTCGCGCCAAGCCAACCTCACTCTCATCTGCCGCGCCATTATCACACTTTGTGTGCATCACAAGATTCGATTGACGGCGCAATGGATCCCCCGCGAACTTAACACCGAAGCTGACGCCCTCTCGAAGATTGACCTACACGACGATTACTTTCTTGCGCTGCCGTGGTTCCTTTTGCTCGAGCGTCGATGGGACCCACATTCAATCGACCTATTTTCCTCATCCTCGAACGCACAATTACCCCGCTTTTGCTCCCTGGATTATCATCAGTGCGGTCGCCCAAGACGCGTTCTCTCTTAGTTGGAACGGGGAAAACTGCTACGCCTTCCCACCACCGTCCCTGATTCCAGCCGTCCTCGCTCACGCGCGTCGATCTCGTACTACAATCACTTTTGTTGTCCCGGAATGGCCTAGCGCCTTCTGGTGGCCGCTACTTTGCCCAGATGGCACTACGTGGGCGCATGATATACGGGCGAGCATATATCTCGCTCGCGGTCCATCCTGTCTACGTGTTGGTAGTGATACGCTGGCCTTTAGTGGTGCCGGTCTCCCCCATTCGCACATGTATGCGCTTCGTTTAATATATACTAATCCATAGTATTGTAAACCTGCAGGTTCATATATTGGACGTTTGATGGGAGATCTCCTAACGCTTACTGTTGATTTGTGCGCCCAATCTACGATCCGCACATACGAACCCTACTGGCGACAGTATCGCACATTCTGTCAAGAGCATTCATTGGCGTTTCTCCCTGCCACTGACCTAACGTCTGCGCTATTCTTATTGCACTCAGTACGCAGGGGTGCCACGGTCTCCGCCGTGCGATCTGCCTGCTCTGCAATCTCATGCGCCCACTGGTTGGTCGGTTGCCCATCTCCTATTCGAGGACCGCTTTCGTTGCAAGTAAAGGAGTACGCGAAACGACACCGTGGAAAACCTTCTGTGGCTAAGGAACCCGTACCCCCTGCTAAGATTTACGACATTTGTGATATCTACTTCTCGTCGACGGATCCTGCCACCTTCCAGCGCGGTCTCATCCCTCTTCTTATGTTTGCAGCTTTCCTGCGCTTCTCCGACCTCGTTGCCCTTCAATGGCACCAAATCGAATTCGACCGTGACTGCATGTGGTTGTTCATCCCCCGCTCGAAAACGGACCAGGCCGGCACTGGCGCCTGGGTCCCAGTTGCCGCCTCTTCTGCCCGCCATTGCCCTGTCACTCGCGTACAACAATTTCTCTTCCTTGCGGGCTTCTCTACGCAAACCCTGGGCCCCCTTATTCGGGTGTTCCAGCATGCTGCGCGGGCTTCGCCATCAGATCGATCCCCATCCTACGCCACGGTTCGAGGCTGGTGTCGCGAGGCATTCTGTCGTGTTGGCCTCAACCCGAATCTGCTCGGCACGCATTCCTTCCGCAAGTCTGCCGCCACAGTGGCTGTCGACGTTGGCGTGCCCGACCGCCTCTTCAAAGCCCTCGGCCGGTGGCGTAGCGACAAGGCCCGGGAGTTGTACGTCACCCAGTTGGACCGCGAGTTGGTGACAGCATCGCGTACCCTTCAGGATCCGGCGAGACCTAGCACGACCTCCCGTTACGCATCCACTCTCGCGCGCCATCGTCACCCTCCGCCTATTTGATGTCTCGTTTACCTATGACGACTGCACTGCACACTCCTCGGAGAGTCGTGTCACAATTGTCAAGATTACGAGACTGGAATGATTGAACTAACAGAGAAATCAGTACAAATAGCTAACCCTAGAATTGTGTACCCCATACAGGCTAACCCACTGTAGCCTAACAAACCAGACATATATAATGTTTGACACACCCCCATAGGCAAAGTGAGGGAGACCTAGGGGTCACAAGACCAGTCAAGGCAAAGTAAGGCAAACAAGCTCAGGGTGGATCTCGAGGATTCCACACAAATTCCGAGCACAAACAAGTGGTCACAAGACCAGTTCACATGCAGGTTTATAATAGAGCAAGACGTACAATGATCACAACCTAGCAAAAGTAAACATGCAGGTATATAAATATATAGTGATCACAGTACAGGCAAAGTCAAGAAGTGAGCAAGTGAGGGCCAGTAGGCACAAGGCCTAACAGAGTACAGAAGCGCTGATGGTCACAAGGCTGGAGTGCCTTGGTGAACACATCAGCAGTGTTGGCCTCAGAGGCCACGTAACGCAGACGAAGCTGACCGCGCTGCTGCAGCTCTCGAGCAAGGAAGTACCGCAGAGCAATGTGCTTCGTTCTGTGCTCCAGTCTGTGCTCCTCACACAAGGCAATGGCAGCCTTGTTGTCGACGTACAGCACTGGAGGAGAACGAGGCCGCTCTCCGAGGTCGGTCAGCAGGTAGGTCAGCCAGCGCAGCTCCTGAGCAGCCATGGCTGTGGCGTAGATCTCAGCCTCACAACTGGAGCTGAGAACAGAAGACGAACGAGTAGAACGCCAAGAAACTGAGCCAGAGCCAAGGCTGAAGGTGTAACCCTGTGACGACCGCTGAGTAGCCTGGTCGTCTGCCCAAGAAGCATCTGAGTGCCCTGTGAGAACAACCCGGTCCCGCCCTCCAAGCACAAGTCCCATGCCCGACGTACTGCACAAGTAGCGCAACACCCTCTTAGCAGCATCCATGTGCTCCTTCCTGTGACGGCCAGGAGCGACATAGCGTGCTAAGATGCTAAGGGGGTATGCAAGGTCAGGTCGAGTGCAGGTCATCAGGTACATGAGGCAGCCCACAAGCTCTGGATACGGGCCACTCGGCTCTACGGACTCATCCGAAGGCAGAGCTGAGAGCGAGTGACCGGTAGGCAGAGGAGTGGACTGAGGCGAGGAGTACGTGAAGCGGAAGCGCTGGAGAACCTGCTGCACCATGTGTGACTGAGTCAAGGTGATGGTGCGCCGTGCTCTGTCCCGGGTGATCCGTAAGCCAAGATAGCTTGTCAGCTCACCCAGGTCTGTGCACGTGTGTCTCCTCTGCAGCTCCGACTTCACGTGGGCGAGTGCCGCTGTGTCAGCTGTGGCAAAGACCAAGTCGTCAACGTACACGAGGATGTAGAACGGCGGCAGCGAGGTGTCGGTGCGTAGAAACAGCGACGGGTCAGCAGTAGAGGGAGCGAACCCAAGAGCCGCAAGCGTCGTCCTCAGTGTGTCGTGCCACTCACGTGGCGCCTGGCGGAGACCGTAGACCGGCCGCTGAAGCCTCCACTGGGTGCCAGGAGGAACCGACCCAGTGAAGCCAGGAGGGCGGCGCAACCAGATCTCCTCGTGCAGGCTGCCCTGCAAGAAAGCAGTGCTGAAGTCAAGTGAGTGAAGCTCGTAGTCGCGGTGAGCGGCTATGTGCAGTAGCACCCGAAGAGTGGTCATCTTCGGGGTGGGGGAGAAGGTCTGGAAGAAGTCGACTCCCTCTCGCTGACTGAAGCCTCGAGCCACGTAGCGTGCCTTGAAGACAGGAGGAGAACCCGGCGGCCGCTTCACCCTGAAAATCCACATGCCACTGACGATGTTCGCCCCAGGAGGGGGAACGTCGTCGACGTAGGTGCCTGTGGACTTCCAGGAAGCCATCTCTGCATCCATGGCTGTCTGCCACTGAGAGGAGTAGGGACCCGCCATCGCCTCAGCGTAAGAGCGCGGGGTCGGGATGTCTGGTGCATCCGGGTCTCCCTCAGGGGCAACAAGC